TCCTGAAGTCCTACGATTTCTTTGCCAAGGTCAAGGAACAAGCGCTCACGGATAGCATTGAAGATGTACTAGCCTTGACCAAGTACACACGGCGATCAGAAAATAACGTGGAAGTGTTCGACGAGCTTCTGAGAATCAACATGTGGAGCAACTGTAATGATGTGGCGACCGACACGGAGACAGCCAAGCAAACGAACCGCCAGGTGCTGGAGAAACTGTCAGCCACCGATGAGCACGTACTAGTTAACCAGGCGGCAGAGATCTGGAGGTGCTTGGAAAACCCAAAGCTAAAGAAACAAAAGCAGGTGGACTTCATACTGGACAACGCTGGCTACGAACTGTTCAGCGACTTTATTCTGGCTGAGTTCATAATTGAGAAGGGACTGGCCAACAAGGTGCGGTTTCATGTGAAGGCCCACCCTTGGTTCGTCAACGATGTGACGGAGCGGGATTTCAATTGGACGCTGGAGTACTTGAGTCAGCATGCTGACTACATCATAAGTCTGATAGGAAAGAAGTTCCTGCAATTCATCGATGAGGGAAAGTTCGAACTGGCGCCAATCTCGCATTTCTGGACATCACCACATTCTTTTTACAGGTACGCATCATACCACTGTACATTCAATGCCTGATTGCGTATTTGTGTCCTACAGCATGGCGCAAATGGAGCCAGATTTGTATAGTTCTCTGCAGCGGTCCAAGCTTGTGGTTTTCAAGGGTGAGCTCAACTATCGCAAGCTGCTGCAGGACGTTTGCTGGGTGCCCACCCAGGAACTGAGCACCTGCCTCCGTGGCTTCCTTCCCAGCAATATTTGTGTGCTGCGGAGGGTCAAGAGCGAGGTAATGTCCGGCCTGCCCGATGGTGTTGGCCAGGCGCTGAGTAGAAAGGATCCCCGCTGGATGGTCTCGGGCAGTTATGGGGTCATTCAGTTCGTGGACGGAACTCGTGAATTTGGATATTAATCTTGTAAAGGCTGGTCAGTTTAAATTATTGGTATTAAATAGTCGTTACATATCTCTAAACAAAAAACCAAAACAGACCAAAAACATCTATATGTACCACTTGCTTTAATAAAAAAATTATTTTGTTTTTAAAACCAAAAAAAGTATCGCGTGGGAAATTATCGGCACGTTCAAAATCCGGTATTTTCCATCTCCCCCAAAACGGTCACACTACGCGCCACATTATCAAGTTATAAACTTTCCGCTGCAGTTCAATTCCGTAAACATATTCGACTGGAGCAACAACAGATCCTCGAGATGGCCAGCGATACGGATTTTGACGCTAAGAATGGAATTGTCGACGGACCAACCCCGCCGCACACCGAGCTGGCGGCCCTCTATAAGCAGTGAGTAAGGCTAAATATAGCGCCCACTATAGATGGTGTCTATATGGCCCGCGCATATGTAACAAATACGCCGACCTATCGTTACCCACACTGCAGAGAGTCGTGGAATTGAGATATTGTTATTATTCAATTGGCATTTATTGCAGGAGCTTCGCCTACTACACCTTCCGTGTGCGCCTGCCCTCGACTTTGGCCACCATCGCGGATTCCCTAGTCAAGGACAAGGACGTCCTCTTGGCCACATATGGAGCAGTGAGTAGTTGTGTGCACATTTGCCTTGACCTTGGGCTAGAACCTTTGCATCAATCGCTTTCCAGGCAGCGGAAGCCGATATTGACCAAACTACCAAGGATGTTAGGCAGCTGCGAGCGGATATCCTGGGCAATGGTCCCTTGTTGCCCTTTGGTGGAAATGGTAGGTATTTTGGGACTCATGGATTGGCAATCATTAGGCTCTTACTTGGAGTTCCTTACTAAAGTAATTACATATGTGTTCCAATTCCATATAAGTGCGTTGACCCAATCCGTTTTATATTGTTGAATCAGTATTGTACTCATTATTGATTGCGTTTTTATATATGTTACTATTTAATGTACTCTTTGGAAAATGAATTTCTGTGATAAGAGTAACGAATCTGTGCCTTTCAGATTCCGACACTGAAGTGTGGAACGCATTCCTGGAAAAACTGCCCAAGGAGAAGAGAAGCTACTTTTCCACCTGCTGGCTGTACGCCGAGTGCTACATGTACCGGAAAATCTCATCTATTTTCCGGTCCACAGCCCATTTGCCCGCCCACGACTACTTCAGCGAGCAGAAGCAAACGGCGGCCAAACTGAGTGTGGACGCCATGCTGGCGGTGGCCAAGGCTACGCGGCACAATGAACGAAACTCGGACACCTTCCGCCAGTTGATCAAACTCAATTTGTGGGGCAACCGGTGCGATCTGTCCATTACCTCCGGCAAACAGGTAAAGCCCACTGGCAATGCCTTCGACCAGGTTACGGATTTGGAGGAGAAGCTACTGATTGACGGCACCGCGGAAGTATGGAAAGCCCTGGACGGAGCCTCCGGAGAGGGCATTGTGGACATCATTTTCGACAACGCCGGCTATGAGCTGTATACGGATCTCATCCTGGCTGAGTACATCATCGACAAGGGATTGGCCGCCAAGGTGCGCTTCAGTCCCAAGGCCATTCCCTGGTTCATTTCGGACGTGATGGAGCATGACTTCCACTGGACACTGCAATTTCTGGCCGACCATCCAGATCCGGCGCTGAGTGAGGTCGGCAAGAAATGGCAGCGTTTGACGACCGAGGGCAAGTTTGAGCTTTCGCCGCTGGAGCATTTTTGGACGAGTCCCTACGAGTTCTACCGCATGCCCGAGGTGAATCAGCCACTGTACGACCGCCTAAAGGAGGCGCAACTCGTAATCTTCAAAGGTGACCTCAATTATCGCAAGTTGTTAGGCGACTTCTCCTGGGACAGCACAGAGTCCTTTGAAACTTGCTTGAGGGGTGAGTCTATCTTGTCTAAAATTCCTTAGCTTTTTACCTGTTTCTTATTCCTGTTTAGGCTTTCGTCCTTCCAATCTGTGCACTCTGCGCACAATTAAAGCGGATCTGATCTGCGGACTGGGCGCAGGCGTGGCGGAACAACTGTTTGCCAAGGATAAGGATTGGATGTTGACTGGCGAATACGGTGTAATACAGTTCGCCAGCAAGTAAGGAAGGAAACCAGGGCCATGACAGCAAATTAGTTGAATTGTTTTAGTCCTTATAAGCTTAGCTTAATTGTTGAAATTCACAGTGACCTTTCCGAGATGCAGAACGAAATTATACTCAATTTACTCTATAACACTGCAGCCATGACTAATTTAGTTTTACAAAATGATGTTCAGCACGTTAAATACTTTTGCATTGCCTTTAGCAATAGGTGTACTCTTAAATCCTTTTGCATTGTATAGTAAGCACAGACACTCATTCGCATGAACGTCAGTTGCCTGGCGGGCAATTAAAGTTTCGAAAAATGTCATTTTGGAATCGAAAATTTGTTCCTGGCAAAGGTCTTTGAAATTCTCAGTTTTAGGCAATATGAACAGTCAGCATAGTAGCCGCACCGATGTGACGAACACCACGAATCCTGCGGCCATTGAGCAGTTGAAGGAACAGCGGTTTAACGAAAAGAATCTGATCATATACAATCCTCCTGGAGTGAATGACGAACTTTCCGCCCGATTCCTGCGCAGCTTAGCTTTTTCCACCTTCAAGCGAAGATCGCCGGCGTTTTTGCGAGATTTGATCATATTTCTGCAGGATCGAGAGCCGGAAATCATTGAACAGTGTGGCGACTATGCCCATTTCGATTTGAAGCGTACCATCTGGAGCCTGGAGCTGCTGCGCGAGGAGATAATCAACAACAAGGAGTTCCAGTTATTCCGGGTCAAGGCGCCTGACACTGACAGCTGGAACACGTTCCTAAAGGGTCTTGGCGAGGATAGAAGGCAATGGTTCTCGGCGGTTTGGTTGCATGCAGACTGCTACTTGTATCGCCGCATTTGGTCGATATTCCAGCGATCCGAAAGCCTGGCAAAGTATGATTACTTCGGTGATCAAAAGACGTCCGCTGTTACCAATGTGGCGCCCCTGATGAGGGACATCCTAGTCTCCACCAAGGGGATAGCGCGCAGCGAGGAGAACTTTCAGTATCTCCTAAAACTATCTGCGTGGGCCAATCACGGTGACTTAAGCATTACAAGAAGGGGCGCGCATGACAAAATCTACAAACAGATGGCCAAATACGACATTGATTTGTTGGCCGATCAGTCGTCTGATGTATGGAAGGATCTCACCGAGGCCAGTGCGCCCGTTTACGTGGACATCGTGTGCGACAATGCGGGATTCGAGCTCTTTGCGGACCTCCTGCTGGGCGAGTATATTATAGAAGCGGGCTTGGCCAGTCGGGTGCGGTTCCATGTGAAGGCTATCCCGTGGTTCATCTCGGACTGCACCCAAAGGGACTTTGACTGGCTGCTGAAGTTCTTTCGCAAGCATGAGTTTCCGGAATTGAATTCCTTTAGCAAGAGGATACGGGGCTACATCAGGGATCGTTCGTTCATCCTGTGCGACAAGAGCTACTTCTGGACAAGTGGCCACGACTTCAGCCAGATGAAGCGGGTGCAGCCTTGCTTGTATGTCTACATCAGCCAGGCAGCCCTGGTGATTTTTAAAGGAGATCTCAACTACCGGAAACTGCTCGGCGACATTAACTACAAGCCAATTACCCAGTTTTCCGATTGCCTGCGCGGCTTTCAGCCCACCAGCGTTTGTGCCCTGCGCGTCATTAAATCGGATATCTATTGCGGGCTGCCCATCTGCACGGTGGAGAAGTTAACCGAGCAGAATCCAGAGTGGATGATCACTGGCGACAAGGCGGTCGTGCAAGTGGCCATCAAGCATCGACTCTCGAGTGACATTATCGTTTGATCTCAAGAAATACCATACCATACCATACACATGTTTGTATGTAGCTATTGTCGTTTTATTAAGTTATCTCCTAAATGGTAGGCGGTGTAAGTCGTTAAAATAAGTATTGCATTCCGTAATATAGACTACAGCTAAGCATTATCAAGTATGAATGGTAGAAAAATATGTATGCTCTTAAGGCCATATTTATAGCTATTTATATATTTATTTGTATGATCGCTGCGATGCTTCAAATTGTTCAAGTCTTATCAATTGCCGTTACAATAAAATCAGGGCAAATATTAAAAAAAAAAACAGAAAAGAAATTTAAATTTTCGTGCATGTTCTCTTTAGTTATTCATCATCTCCATACCAATCCTTTCATTGCGTTTTATATTAATATTTAAATAAAATCCAACAACTAAATGGATATTCTCCGTTCCGTTACAACTTTTGGAGGGATTGCTGGCCGCTGGAACTCACAACACGCAGTTGGGATTGAGCTGCTGATATGGCGTCAGGTCTTTGGTGATCGAGAAGAGTGCACCGTCGCGCACCATCTTGCACATAAGGGCGCCCAGATTCTTGGCATCGTCGATCCCCGAGTGGGCCCTGCCCTCGAAGGCCAAGCCCACGTGCTCCAGGGCATCGGTGAAGTTGCACGGGCGGTACTGATACCACGACCGATAGACGGCCCGCACGTCGATCCACTGATTGAAGTAGGCTGCCTTGCGCATCCGTTTGCGTGTGCACTCCTTCGACAAGCAGATGCCAAAGTCCCAGTCCGTCCAGGTGACGAATGCACAGTTGCCCATTATGTTGGACTTGTTCATCTTGGGCAAGGTGAGGTTCCGGGCGCGCAGCTCCTTGCGCAACCACTCGTGAAACATCATTAGCGCCGTCTGCAGCGGCACTCCGCTGTCCACAGTCTTCTGCTGGATGCCCGTCAGCTCCGTACAGTAGGTGCTCAAGCGGGGCGACTCTATGGGTAGAATATACTTGTGGAACTCCGCCTCGATCTTTCCTGTCTTAAGGTTCACAAGCACTGCTGGGAACTCTGGAAATTAAATACGCGTTCTATTATAGCATTTCCAACAAATCAATGTGTATACTTGTATTTTAATATCTTACCAATAATCTCCGCCTCACGCCATTGTGGTGGAGCCTGTTTCTCCCAGCAGGTTGCCTCAAAGTCCACGGCAATCACATAGGAGTAGGGCTGCATGGCTAGTCGCTTGGACTTCCTCGACTTCTTGCTTTTAATGGGCACGTTGGCTGCTGTGGCTTCGATCTCGTTGAACGACTCCTCGGGATCGTTATCGGGTCCTGGGCGAGCACCCTCGACGTATATGGTATCGATCAGGCCCAGTTGTCTGAAAAACGAACAGGAATTGTAAAATATAAGCGTAACCAGACAGTTATGATTTTATAATTTTTAAAAAATGATTTTTTTAAATTTTGTAGAAAATAGGTATGTTATTTTCATTGCCTCTACTCCAGCAGATCTGAGTATAAGATCAAACCAGATTGACGTTTACTAAAACTACTACTGTTTGGGAAACCGATTTGAAAACAGAATATCGACGAAATCCTAACCTTCTCCCAGTTCTCTTGACTGCTCCTATTGCTGTTTGCCGTAGCAGACAATCATGGGTTTGTCGTGCACCAAAAGTCCGTTGGTTTCGTTTAGGGCTCGGGCTATTATATCCGGATTATTGGCTTCGAGGAAGGTCACGAAAGCCTGCCCTTTCATTCGACCCTGCTGCATGACCTTGATGTCCAAATTACTCGAAGCCGTGTACTTGGCATAGAGTTCCCTCAGCTGCTGTTCATCCACGCTCTTCTCCAGATTCTTAATGTACAATTTGTTGCTGGGATCGCCGGTCTTGTAGTTCTTGTACACTGGCAGAGCTTCGAGCTTACTGGTGGACAGACGCCTCTCTGGCTTTGCTGTGGATGCACCACTTTCTGGATTTAAAGCGGTTGGTATTAGGATTTCGGGCAGTTTCATCTCGATTTTGGGTGCGTCAAAAGTGGGTTTTTGAACAGCCCGTGTGGGATTAGTGTGACTAGCTAGATGGGCAGCTTGCTGTAGCATTTGGCGGGTTCGCTTGAGAATCTTGGCACGGGCTTCATCGCTCGAAGGAGGTGGGAGCAATCGCTGCCTTTTGGCCAACTTTTGCTCCCCTTCGTCGCTCTCCAACTCGCTCTCCGGTTCGCTGGGTATGGACTCGGTTTGAGTGCCCACATGCTGAAGATGCATCTGAACCATCAATCCATCGGGGCGCTTTTCAAATGGTGGCTCCAGATTCATGCGATTCATCAGGTGCAAAACCTGGTTATAGAACTGTGAGTTTGTCTGCAGACTCTGACCGATTCTGGCTAGGATTTCCCCGTTAATGGGTGGATAGCTATAGCTGAGATATGGCGGCGGCGGCTGTGTGAAGTCGGACTGATTATTGCAGGCGTATAGCCTTCGAACGTACTTGTCGATATCCGGAAAGCCAGAAGCAGGGCTTCCATTTCCCGCTGCCTTTGTCTGTGTGGATTTGCTGGCACTGGCGGCTCCGGAACTGGGCGACGGTCCAAAGACACTGATGCACAGCGGCTTGTCCAGCGTTTCGCTGAGTCCTTGCAGCTGCTCCAGCGCCTTCTCCGCCTCCTCCGGGTCGCTATACTCGAGGAGAACCCTTTTCCGGCCGTAGGTGTTCAGTGAGCGCGGCAGGATGAGCTTGCACTCACAGATCAGCTGCGCCAGTTCCTCCAGGGTGCAGGGCATCCGTTTCAGGAGCAGTTTGCAGCTAAGCGCGCTCATTTTCGGCAGAATTTCCAGCACGTTTCAGAAATTTTAACGCCGCATGCAAATTGCGAAAACAAGAAAACATGCCGCGCCCGCGTTGCCACCTGGTCGCATCGGTGTTGCGTTTGACAACACTGGTTTTCGGCGGGATTTTTAAACTGCAGCTGCTGTGGCGGCCGTCTTGTTTGGTCGATAAAATAGAGTTGCATAAAGCGAATGCCGGCGACTCTGACTTTCCCTAATTGAACTGGTTATCTCACAATCAGATTGCTGTATCTATTTTTGTCTGCAGACGAAAAGCGAAGGAAACAAAATGTATCGATCAATTGCGCTACGCAAAATGTTCCTTTAAAATACATTTCCCATAAAAACCCAAAATGCTTCTTTGAAAATAGCAAATCTGCAACTATTATAAGCGCTTAGAGATAATTTGTGACTTTTTTCTGTTCGATATGGAGGACCCTATAAAATATAACAAAAGGCGTACTTTGACTTTCTTCGAGTTGAAGCAGACGCATTAAAAGGAAAGTTTTGGTGAAAGAAGATATCTGCCTGCATTGGGGTTGGTCCAGCGACAAATGAACGAATCGCGTGCCGGACAATCATACGACTACAGCATATAGTATGCATTGAAATGCATTAACTCTCCGCTGGGGTTTCTCGGCTGATTAGATCGTTGTCATGGGGGAAGCACTCCCCCAATTCGATTAGGGTAATTTTTCTATTTTTCAAACGCATCAGGCCAGCCAAATGCCAAATGCAGCGCATCAGCCTTCGGAGTCAATGCACTTTTGGCGCACGCTACGCGCATTTAATCAAATTGAATTACATACGTGTATGAAAAATGCCCGACATGATCTGCTTTTTGATATATGGCACACACAAAGTGCTTATAAAAAGATCAGCGCACACACATGTGCAAACGGCAGATTGCATAAAATTTGCAATGATTAAATGGACAACGAGGAGCAGGGGAAATGCAGGCGGCCCCAGTCGCACTTTCGCTTTTCACTGGATTTTGGGGCGGAAAAACGGGGGCGCAACGATGGTGGACCAAATGCGGAAGTCGACTTTTGCACAAACAAATACGAAATTGGATGAATGAACTCTGTGTCGCTGGCAGGCTGGGCGGAGAAAAAGGAAAACCACTTTTAAATTCACTTTTACTTGCGCCAATTGAAACGAGTCCGCGCTGTCGGCTTTGCATTCTAAGTGACTTTAATGGGTTAGGCTATATTTAGAAAATTGCAACAAATTGCCGAGTAGGCGGATTGCCACTGGAGCACATCAATTTCCATGCGGAAAAGAGGTTAACTGCAAGGATCAATTGAATGGGTAAACGTTTCTACCCAAACTCTGTTCAACGGCGTGGAATTACATGACCAGAACGCCTAAGAGACGCCAAGTTATATTGCAACTAAATAAAAACATTTACATTTCCTCTAACCAAATGCGTTTTAGCTTTTTCGTTGAGTTTTCTTTAATTTCTTTACGTGAGGTTTCCACAGCCACTTGAAAAAATTCTGAGTCAGCAACAGGTTTTCCAATTGGTCACCACATCGCCGAGTGACGACAAGCCCCTTTTTACACATTCCATTAATTGCCCAGGGAAACTGGCATTAAAGTGCGATTTTCTTTGTCGCCAAACAATGTAGTTGCAGTAATTACAAATAACACTTTTGAAAAGCACCATTAATTAGCCATATATTTCTCAGGGCCCGTTCAGCAGTTAACCCAATTGTAGAGGCTATAATGAATTGGCCAAATGAGGAGCGTGCCTGTGCACGATGGACTTGAAATTGGAAAAATAGAAAAACGAAAGCCTATTTATAGCCTAGGGGGTGTTGTGCATATTGCAATCTCGTTAAATGACAATTAAGTATAAATAACAATCAAACAATTGTGCACAGTCAGCCTTAAAAGCCTTCTGCAGTTTCTAAAATAAGTAAATGTAGATGCATGGTAGGAATTGGGAATGAATCCTTAATTCTCCTACACAATATGCACAACACATTGCACGATATGCAAACTATGTTTTATGAGATCATCAGATGGAATCTCACGTGGCAGCTCAACTTTTTCAGCCATTATCATCATCATGCATGTCAATTGACTTTAGCTAATTGCCACTTTCAAAGGTGGGGTATTTATTTACGGATCATTACCATCAAGGTCCTGTGGATGACACGACTTGAGACTTGAGGCTGGGTTTATTGCAATTGATGGAAATTAGCAAGTGGGCTCCAAAGCAAATGATATATATTTATTGCGCATACGCCCCGCATGCCGTGTTCGAAACGGTGGCGCATGCATACGAGTTTACCATACTACAGCCGGGGCCAAAAAAGTACGACGCCCTTCTGCGCTTCTAGTTTTCAATGGAGGGTCGCCGCCGTGGGCCCCAATCTCCGGAACTCCCCTGCGGGTCTCCTGGCTTGCGGACGGCATTCGTCCGAATGCCATATTGAGTTGCAGTACCCTGGCATCGGCTGCTTTTCGACCAGAAGCACAGTCGCAGTGGTGGCGACGTGGTCGGAATGCAGTTGTATCGGTAGCGGCTGTAGCGACTGTATCGCTGTATCCGTGAGTTTCGTGTGCGCCATGCTCTTGACTTTGGATAAGTTTGGTGAAAACTGCTTTCAGCCGGATTTCCCGCACTCTGGTTGCCATCTAAAACCAGACGACTATTGCCAGCCAATGTCTGGGCATCGAGTTGCGCTAAGCGTTCATTGGTCAGCGTTCGGGAATCTTCTAGAGAACCTTCTTCCAGACACCACCCTCAGATCGGTCAAAAGGTAGCCGATCGATCCGCATGTCAATGTGGTTACCTCCCATAGATCTCACTTCTGCCGGCCAAAGTGTGTGCCGAGTTCGTTGAGGTTTTTCCGTAACCAATTGCTCTGTTTGATCTTTAATTTGTGCGCTGCAAATTTACGGCTGGCACACACAGACGTTTGATTCAATTGTTGCAAATAATCAGCTATAAACTGAGCAATAATAATAAATTTCATTTCTACTACTGCCACTGAGACAGTTCTCACAGCAATGTTTACCATTTTAAACTGGCCGTAAAGGCGGATCCGTTTTTAGCCATTTATGTGTTGAAACTAAAGATAATGGCTGTACTTAATAGCAGTCATTGTCAACTATTCGGGATCTTAACTTACAAGTTATTAATAGCAATGCATTCAACATATCAAAGCCTAATCTCTGCATGTATTAACTTATATTAGATTTTTTTGAACAACCAAAATCCTGATTAAAAGGTGTTCAAACTTAACGTCAGCGTAGGCAAGCACGTTAGCTCATTTGTTTGTTGGTTTCTTAAACGGGTTTTTGTGTGGGAATGAGCAACTAGAATTCGATGTGCGACAAGCTTTGAAATTGCGCAACTTTACAGAGATATCTCAGTTTACTCACGAGTGGATGGCCAAGACCTCCCATTGATCGATCAGGTGCATTGTGGCCAAGACAAAGGAGTCCTGCTTATCAATCAAAGATCTAATCGAAGACAATGGACGGCTTTGCTAAAGTGGAGTGACAAATCGAACTGACACCGATACGCCTATTTTGAGTTAAGGTTGGCAAAAGTGTAGAGCACAGATCTTGATTGGGAGCTTTCAGTGCGGCCGCAACGTTTCCATTTATAGAATACTACGCATTTCAATTAATGAAATAGTCATAATTAAATTAAAGAGTCGCCAACACGAGTCGTATAACAATGGGGCTTTCAAACAGCCCGGGATTACGCAGATACATACGTACATATGCAGTATGTAAATACGCTCCATATGCAGGGTGCTACGTATTTACAGAGTAACTCGAGACCATGTCGTCATATAGATTACTCGCTTTATCAATGCAGCCTCCCGTTTTAGTTTTATTGCATTCCCATTGCAGTGCACAAAAGTTTCCATTGCAGCGCCATAAAAATACATGAGTATATAGACATGCATATATGTGGCGGTACACGGGGTATATGTTTCATGGGCGAATTGCAGCAGCGGGTCAGGCGAGGACATATTGGGGCCATCGGGCCGAGAAACAGACACATTCTTTGTGGATGCAATCTGCTGCACTTTTGCAGCTTCCACTGGCGGCTGTCATCCGTCATCCGTCCAGAGAGATCTTGGGATTGGAGTGGCGTGGAGTGGAGGAGCCTCGTGTTCACTTCCAATTACACTCAATTACTGGAACTCTGATCTCAATTGCTGAAAGGCTGCGAGTTATTTCTGGAGCCCCCACTTGGAATGGGTCAGGTGAATCACTGCTCCAGCCATGGGAGTCCATTAGAAGTGGGGCACTCGCCGAATACCAAGTGCGGACCAAGTGCGGAGTGAACCAGCTCGAACCCAATTCGCAATCCACGCTGCAATCTTGAGTGCCACCACACCATGACAAAGTGCAAGTGCAAAGCTTGTGGCGTGTGGCTTGTGGCATGTAGTGTGTGGCGTGTGGGATAGTCCCAATTCTGGTGCCTGGGCACGCGGCCAATCAGTCAGCGGGCCATCAATCAACTGATCGCATATTTAACGCCTGTGCGCCGCCGCTTGATTAATTTAATCATGTGTGATTTGCGACTGTTTACTTTGCAGGCGTAAACAGCGCAAACAGCATATAAATAAATATCGCAGTCTATAGTGAATGGATAGTGGGATAATGGCGTTGGAAATTCGATACCCAGATAGTGCTTATTTGCCTAGTTGTTGTAAGTGCTGGAAAAGTCAACAAACGAAATCGAGAAGGTAAATAAATACATTGTAGTATTGTTAGGCAATAACAGAATTAATTGCACAGACTGCTCGTAAGATTTCCTATTATTAGCACTTCATTTGAAATTCTGATCATAATAATACTACGTTCTCTGTGTTCTTAGGTCATGAATTGATCTGGTTTCATTCGATTCTATTACTCAATTCTATTCTGTTCTAAAATTTAGTTAAATCTAGTTTCCGAACTGGTATTTTGAAGATTTCGAATATAATTCGTGCCAAATCGAAACAAGGATGTTTATTTTGGTAACTTATGCTTGATTATGGCATTTTTTCTTTACGTAAAATGAAAATGTATAAAATGTCCAATTACATATTAAGTAATAAATCAATTGCAATCTAAGTACATAAATATATATGTTATTATATCTACGATTCCGTAATCACTGTTATCATTGTTGTCCAGAGTGCCAGATTATATTTTGCGATATTTAGTGCTTTTCAGGGCCCAGAGTGCATTGACCAACTTCAGTATCAACAACTCGTTGCTGGGAAATAAATATTTGCCCGAAACTTATTACACGGCCTCAAGCGCTTTGCTGTTGACCAAGAGGCAACAAAAAGGCCAGGGCCGGATTTTCCAGGCTGCGGACTCTATTCTTTCGCCGGAAGAGGGAAATGAAAAATGGGGTCAGTGCAGGTCAGCAGGACAGGATGATGGGGGCCAAAGAAAATCAATTTTACATGTGTATGTAGGCGAGGGCAGGGAAAACCCCCCTTGGATGGAAACTCCGCCACTGGCGAACTTAATTGCGGTTTGTTAAGTGGAAAGGCAAAGAAAGCGAAGGTGGACTACAACTTTTAACGGGAAAATTCCGATACACATGCTTTAGAGGTAATATCCGCGAGAAATCTGTATAAAAACTCACCTTGCCAGTCTTATCAAGGCCATTTCTGTTTTTCGATTCGATTGGGCGTCTTTGTAGCTGACGTTTCTGTTATTTTTTGCTGTTTTTGTTCTTTTGGCAGGAGTACTATTTATGCTATTCGAAATTCGTCGGCTTATTTATTTATCTCCCTATTTCCACTTGTTTTTGTTGCAAATTTGGCAGTGCAAGTAACGGTAAACTAGGCGACGGGTAGGACGCGCAGGAAGAAGAAGAGCGAGCCGAGTTCCTTTTGTTGTCTGCTCACTGACACGCACACACCGACGGACGGACAGACACACACACACACACACACACGAACGCGCGCGCACACAAGCACAGTTATTTCAGCCGGCACAACAAAAACACTGCGCTTTTTCGGTACTTTCGTTACGTTCTACTCTCCTTCTTACTGTTATTTAGCTATTTATTTAACTCGTTTGTTTACATTTTCCCACACGCAGACTGTGTTTCTTCGCCTTGCTTTTTTTTAACAACTTTTCAGGCAAGTGCACTTGGCGCTCGATGAAGTTGCAATTCGCAAATGCACTTTTCACGCAGCCGAGTATTTAACCGGTCAATAGAGATGCACTTCTGGTATTTGCATTTTTTGCGGGCCTGTCAGTTGGTCTCGTATAGCTGCGCTCAGAGTCCGCATTTATTGCACGGTTTTAACTCGTTCGGCGCCCGTTCACAAATGCAGCGGCATTAAATCGGCGAACTATATCATCCACATTGCGATATATCGATTCGCGCGCCGAACAGCTGTTTCCCGTGCTTCGAACCCTCTGCCGTATTCAACACTCAGCTGAGCTTCCACCACTTGAGTTCCCACTTCAGCCGCAATGGCGCTTTACGGTGCACTAACATAAATGTTAAATGTTACTAACAGAAATGTTATGTTATAACGTCATTTATACTGAGTTTTTAAAGGTTTTCGAAAATATTCACACATTCACATTTGGCATTTGACACGTATTGTATTTTCTCGCAGCTGCTTGCAATATATTAGAAGCAATAAATAAACCAAAATGTGGGAGCAGTTAGCGAGATATCGCAATCACTTTCTGCAATACGAGATCAAGGATGTGCTGAAGCCGACCTCCATCAATAGCCAGCAGGATAAGGGTAATTAGAAAGTAATATCAGCCGAGGATAATCATAACAAATTGAGCTTAGTGTGGACTCAGGCCATGGAGAAACGCAATATTTGTAGGTGCACTCCGTATTGCTGCAATTCGAGCTCCACGCACCTGGAGGATCGTGCTCAATTGGCCTACGGCTGGTTTGCACTGCCCAAATTGCTAAAGGAACTGGATAGTGATGTTCGCCTGACCCACTGGAGGGCAGTCGTGTCGTTGTCGGAATTTCTTCTAAATCCACTGAATGCACAGAGAGCTATCACCGAAATGGATCTTGTGAGAAAGTGGGTTGTCTTCATTGCGTCCTTTTCTTGGTCCTATCAAATGGTTATCCTTCAATAGATTGAAAAATGCCTTTATGCGAATGAGATTGAAGCATCACGAAGAGGAGCACCGGGAGGGGGAGATGTATCTTAGGATTTATAGTAAGTTAAAGGACCCTTATAAAATATTTGAGCACTAAAGATGAGCCCTTATTTGTTAAAGATATACTCTCCCGCAATTTCGATGGCGCCGAAAATATAGCCAACCGCAAGTGCTTAAGAGTGGAGTTTTATAAAATCATTAAGAGCCAAGAGTCTATTAAGGATGATTTGGCTTCAGAGATATTGCGAAATCTGACGTGCAAGCCAAAAGGTGAGCTGTATGTACTTCATTGGTTTTAAATGTATTATATTTTGTGCCAGTTCTGGGTATATTCCTGGAGGATCCTGAAAACTTTTCCGCCTTGGCTGAGATCTTCAGGCAGGATCCGTGCCGTCCGCATTATCCTTTGCATTTGTGGCACCACCTGTGTCACATGCTGGAAGTGGCGCCCGATCAGGGAATCGAGCTGGGCTTCTTTGAGCTGCTGCACTCGCGAATCCTAAATCGTTTGTCCAATTTCTGGGACATCAATACCAAGGCATTTGCGCTGCTACTCTGCTGTGCCGAGGGTCAGCGGCGTTTCGATGCCGTGGATGGTGTAAGCCTGCTTTACGAGGTCTTTGCCCAGCCCGATGAGAATCCGCGGCTGTTGCTGCCACGCCAGAAGGTGGAAAACTGGGAATATACGGTCCTGGCCCTGCTCAATGGCCTCCATAGCAAGCGGGCCTTGTGGCGCAGCAGGGAGTTCACCCAACTGCCGTGTTATGTGGGTCGTCTGATGGCCTCCACGACCGATAATCCCCGCCTGCAACTTTATTGCCTAAAAGTGTTCCGGGAGCTGGGCGTAATGCCCTGCATTAAACGCTATATTATTGGGAACTGGCTACAGGACATTTGCAAGATGTTCTGCCTGGATGCTGAGGCGGAATGCGCCCGGGATTCACTGGTCGATTGGCTGCGTCGGGATATCGCCGATAGTAGTTAAAACACCCGCTTGCAGTTACTTTCATCTGAAACTGATTGTTTGTTACTGTGGAAACATCGCTTTTCCCCGCTTTTCCCCGCTTTCTACCGCTCAGATAAATTCAAACCGTTTCAATACCACCCCTGATGTCCCAAAGAGAATCCCCTGGTGTCCCAAAGAGAAAGCGGTTAAAAGAGGGGCAATAATCCTGGTAAAAAGAGAGAGAGCTTTGTCAGCTGTTTTGAAAAAAAAAAAAAAGTAAATTGTAGTAAATATTTAGCACCTCTCGAACATTCCGTTTGATGTTTTTAAATTCCTTAAAAATAAATTCATCCTCCTCCCTGTACTTGACCCTGTCAGCAGTAAATATATTTATTTATATCACTTTAATCAAATCTATGCCTGCATTCAATATTCATAGAACGTGTCAGAGAAAGTGTGGAATGTCACGAAGGCAGGAAACTTTTCCAATTTCCGATGCCTGGACATTGCCGACAATAATGAGCAGTGACACTCTGCAGGGCTAAAAGGATGCAGGGATGCAAGGATGCAAGGATGCGGTGCTGGCAGCACAAGCACCGCAAAAATAACAACAAGAGTGCAAAAGTAACGACCACTGACCAGAGAAGCCACAGTGACCGCAGTTTGCGGTTCCTTTCAAGCCTCCACTGCGCTCTTGTTTCGCATCTACATATTTTAATATCTATACTATATAGAGCATTTTTTCCGTATTATTTTTCTGCGGTGACAAACTTGGCAACGAGTCGCAGTTCCTTTTTAATTTATTTGAATTGGCAATGGGTAGGAGCGGTCCGGACCAGTTCCTGGACCACATTTCGCATTCAATCGGCAAGTTTTGCGCCTTGTCATCGGCGGGATTCTTCTTGGTAGCAATTTTCCAAAGTCCCTGGTGCCCGACTCTTTTGTGAACTTTTTAATTACCGCTGCGAGTTTGCGTTGCTTTCTTTTCGGACTCTCTCCTCTTCCCAGTTGTTGGCTGCATAGCATAGCTTTTTCCATTTTTCAAGTTGTTTATGAAATATTTTATGGAAATTATGCAAAACTTGTTTACCCGACTTCACATCCAGCACCCGACGCTCTCCATCAGCCATTTCTCCATTTGGCGCCTTCAAACCAAGTTCCTCACTTTTTGCCACTCAAATTAATTGCATAACAAATTGTGTTGATGAAGTGCAAGAATTCCGGAGTACATCTAACTGAAATGTGCTTGGCCATGGAGCCATCGAGCACGCCTTTGTATTCCGGCTAATCTACACAGTTCGTTGCCATGGCCCCTTTTTTAAGTTCTCATTTTCAGCTAGTGCTTACTACAAAAAAGAATAAATGAATATCATTAAATATCATAAAAAAAACTTTAAGGTATATTTTTGAATGTTGCTTTCATCAAACTATAACCTTTGCCTCTGTCTATTTCAGCAACAACCCTAATTGGTGCACATCAGAAGACCATTATGGAGGCATTACGCACCTAACGATGGTCATTTTATTGGGCAACAGTCGTATCCTTTGGGGCATCCAGTTGGTGGATCCATTTCATCGATGGCCTGGTGGCATTCGCTTCGCCTGAGCAACCGTTACATCAGCAGGCACGTGCTCCTCCTGCTGCGCATCTACCTGGCGCTGTTCCATCACCTGGGATTGATGCGACTCCACTACGAGGAGTCCTGCAACGAGCTGCGATTGACGTACTACAGCGTCACGGTGTCAAGGATGATTGGGCTTTGGTGCGCCTTCTTCTTCACGCTGGCCCTTCTGGATCCCTATCCCCTGATGCTGCATCTCCAGCTGGTGGGATTCAGCTGCTGCCTGTTAATCCAGCCAAGAGGAGTCATCGAGGAGCGGTGTCGGGTGATAAACCAAATCCTGCGCCTTGCTCCGCAGCTCCATCGTCTCTGCAGGCGGAAGGTGGAGTTGTCGTGGCTTGTGGCTTTGCAGTTGGTGCTCAAGCTGCTGGTCTTTCGGATGTTCTACATGGGTCTTCTGGGACCCTTGGACGCCAGCTGGAAATTGCTCTACATTGCGGTCTTTGTGGTGCCCATTTCATTGGCCATTTGCGTGATAGATGTCACCTCGCATCTGATTAGCATTGTGCTAGCCCAGCTGCTGAAGTCCTTCGAGCTGGTGAACCGTGAAATGGCGGCAATTGACGAGAAGCTCTGTTTGAAGATCCTGCGATCCGATTATCGAGCGGTTAGGAGGCTACAGAGACGCCAGATTTCCCTGCAGCGGTTGCATCGATCCTATGTCAAGGTCACCAGGCAATTGATAGATTGCCTGAGCCCCCAGTTGGTTCTCATCGTTCTGTACAACCTAAGCTCCATCTATACCTTTTCCAGTGGCACATGGCGGCGCATCTTCCAGATAGCGATCATCGTCAACACGCTGCGCTCTCTACTGCACACCCTCGATGAGCTGGTAACCACCATTGGTGCTCCGCAGGACACCTCCTGGATGCATGCGGCGCGGTTATTTCAGTTCGAGGAGGTCCTGGCCACGCATGGATGGTCGGAGCGGAGGGACTTCCGCTGGAAGCTGCAGGATATCGACAGTTTTAGTCAGAGCGTAAGAAGCGGTTGCTTTCGAAGAGGACTCCTAGTCCTGGGACTGGTTACTCCCAACAGACGACTCCTGTTTCGCATCGCCTTCGCATTCTGTATTGTGCTGCATCTGCATTATATGTTGAAGAAATCTGCTTTGGTTGCCGAGAAGGAAATCTTTATCGGTTCTGATGTGAGCTTAAAACCCAAGCATTAAAAACTTTTACTTTGTAGGATGTATAAAATGGGTTTGAAATAATACACCTATCGATTGCGATAAATAATTAATTAATTTAATTGTGGTGTTGCTGCCATTGCTATTGCAAATGTAAATTATACAGCATTAATGAACAGCATATTACATAATTAATTCGAAACAAATGGGTTATCAATAGTACATCAGCTCGAATATTTAGAGGAGTAGTTATGGGGTCAAGAAAATGATTACAACTAAGCACCCAGTCTGCTCTTAAGGTTAAGAATATAGGAAAATATTGCATATCATGATTAATGAAGCCGACACCCTTTGTTTATTAAAGAACGTGGAAAGTTGCTCCTCTTCGCGACGGCAAACCCTGCCAACTATGCAGCTCCTCCGCCAAGAAGAGCCCATTTCTCAAACGCTTTGATTAACTTTCTGCAGGAATTCTCGGGTCGCCTTTGAGACATTTATCATCTATTTATTGCACTCCAAATAATATTTGTTCAATGTAACACGCACTTTACAAGACTGAGTCTGCTCCACGGGAGCTGAAGGGCTTCCTTCTGCCGCTGCCGGGTAATTTTAAATAATTTATGCATTCGCCCCTGCTGTAACATGCACAAAAATAACAAGGGAAGGCTCCATATTCTCCGGCCAACGGGCCACCCCGCAGTGAGTTCCCGGACCCAGACCCAGACCCAGACCCATTCCCATTCCTTGATATATGTAATTGCATGGCTGGCCGAGCACTTGAGGTGCCGGGTCCTGAACCGGCTCCTTGAACTCCCCTCCGATCCTCACACATGGCCATGCTTCCTGCCGCCCTGTTTTCGTCCTTTTCTCCTTGCGAGCTGGGGATGCGGATCCATAAATCATTTTTAAAGCATTACCTCAACGAATGCGACTACGTAGAAGCATTTTAGGTACACAATTTTGCACCTCTAAAGCGGCACAAGATTTATAGTTAAGTGGCTCCAGGGACTACCAATCTAGCTTCAAATCCTCTCCAGGATTGTCACAACAAGGTTGATTAAATTTTTCAACTGACTTTGGCACAGTTTTACCGTTCCGATTTATAGCCACAGTTCTCTTTCATTTCTCGCCATTTAATGGGGTTTATTTCTTCTATTTCCATAGCCCAATAAACATTGAAAATCAATTAAACTTTTATGCACACAAAGACAAAGAGTCGGTCAAAATAAAGTAGCATTAGAGCAATTTCAATTTCATTTAGCTGAGTGATAAAATAAAACATTTTATTGAAGCATTGACTTTGATTTAAGTTTTAAGTTTTGATTGTTTCGGGAGTACTTCACCCTCTTATCCGATATCTTTTATCTGTTTTGCCTTCCCTGGGCTTCATTCACAACGAAAGACAATGGAGTGTGACAAGTGGTTGGAAAAGGGGGAAAACTTATCCCATCGCTCTTGTTGCTCAAGGAATTTACACTCTGGTGAAAAGCCAATGATTTCCCTTCGTCCAGCGCGAACTAATGTTACTTATGCCACCAAGAAGCTGGGGGCAGAAAAGCAGCCGAACCTATATATATATATATGTACAAAGAAAATATATGGTTGAGCGGAAAATAAGGGAGCATTGCCACGGGCAAACGGCTTTTGTATAAATCTCTTTAATTTATTAGATTTCATTAGACATTTTGGCGTTGAGTTTGGCCCGGAGGCCGCCAGAACTCGGTGGTTCCACCGCAATTTTTATATTAACAAGCTCGAAACATGACTTTCCCTTGTGCCGTCATAAAAAGTAATAATGTGGCCCTAAAATCTTAAGCCGAGGGCCAAGAAGACGGCGAAGATAAAAGGACAGCGTGATGAAGGTGGAATGCGAACGAAAGTGTAGCATACTTTCCTGGGCTCGCCGTTTCGCTTTTGAGTTTTCATTTCAGATCAACGCATTTCCTGAAGATGTTTAAAATGTAAATTTATGAATTGAAGTTTCTGCTTATAAATACATTTTGCCTTGATTTCTTAATGCTATTATTTGGTACTTATTGTTCGAATACTAGCTGCAGCTACTTCTTAAAACACACAATAATCAGTGTCGAACTGGGTCAAGTTGTTTAAAAATGTAAGCCCAAATTAAAATACACTCTTGCCATATCTCATGCCATATCTTTGGCAGTTACGCGAGGCACATGCATGTATAATTTAGGATCACTCCAAATAAATTACACACTCAACGATGTCAATCTCATACACACACACACGCACACACTCAATGTAAAGAAGAAAGGCAACAACGTTGTAATCAACAAAATTACACTAAAATACAAAGCAAAAAAAACACGAGAGGAGAAATAAATTTGACACGAATGCGTCGACGAGGATGACACAAAAGCGGCACCAACCCAAAAACCCACACAGACCCTCGAACGGGTTCACCCCCCTAACTTTCACCCCCTCGTCAACCTTTTCGTTTTCGAAGCCCCTTTCCCCGTGAAAGCCAAAGTAAAAATGGCACAACGCTCGAAGCCAGACAATGTAAAACTTGCTGCTAGAACATGACGAGGCGACCAAGTGGCATGCTCCTGTAGGTGTACAACTGAGTCAGTGCACTGCGAGAAATGGATGT